GTGTGGGGTATGGGAACAGCCCCTTGCAGGCTGGAACTCTGACAGCCTACAAGGAAAAAGACACGGTTTTGCATGTTTTTCTCCTTTAAAGGCAAATCTATTTTTAAAGTTTGTTCGTGACTCTTTCATATATTCTTGCAATCCATTTTTGGGTCATGACCCACAGGTTGAGAAACACTGTTCTAGGGGACAGGTTCCAGTCTGTTCAGTTAGAGGTAAACATCTCCAGACAAGACTGAGGATAACAGTGCATGTATATTATGGTGGACTTACCGATGCAGCCCGGCTCAAACAGGCTCGGAAAATCTTCATTTAGATTGGTGGAGCCCATCCACCAATCAGGTAAGGGCTGGGCGGGACCGGCCCTGCCCCTTACACAGAGGTGGTGGGAAGCAAACAGCCTCCCGGGCCTGATTGAAGCCTGCATTCTGCAGGTCAGGCAAGCCTTCAGAGGCAGAGCCTCCAGAGTGAATAAAAGGAGCTGCGTGCCTATCACGCGGCAGATGCATCAGGGGCCTAAGCAGGCAGGGCTAAGAAAAGCTGGGGAGAGCCTCCTAGTGGGCAGAAGCAGTAGCCCAGAAGAGCCCTGGAAGACTCGGCCGGACTGGCGCAGCAAGTGGCTTCGGCTACAGCCTCAGCGGTGCACAGAGTGGTGCACAGGGCAGACCCTAAGAGCTGCAGGAGGCAGCTGAGGTCCCCAGACACTCAGTGCACAGAGCAGTAAACAGGGCAGACCCTGGGAGCTGCGGGAGGTAGCTTGGGTCCCTGGACACTTGGTGCATATAGCGTTGCATGGAGTGGCCAGATTTTGGGAGCTGCACATGGCGGCTCGAGTCTGCTACCCTCGGCATGTAGCTGAGGGCTTGGTACATGCAGCGGTGCATGGCATCCCAAACCCTGGAAGCAGTGCCAGTCTGCTCGCTGCTTGGGTTCGCTACGCCTCCCGTGAGGCCAGGCACCTAGGAGGTGCCAGGCCGCTCGGGTTTGCTACCCCTCCCTGGTGTGAGGCTGGGTACCTGGGAGGCACCAGCACAGCACAGCGAGTTTCCGCGGAGCCTGGGTTTTGGGACCCGCACGAGGTGGCCTGAGCCCCAACAGAGGGCAAAAGGTGGAGCCTGGGTTTCAGGACTCACATGACGTGGCCCGAGCCCCAACAGAGGGCATGAGGCAGGGCCTTGGGTGGTCCCGGGAGCCCCTCCCGGTCTGCTTCCCCGCATTCGTGAGTACCCAGGGAATGGGTCCCCACGGGGTAGGAAGCCCAAGGGGGGAGGGGGGGGGCTATCAGGGGCTGAGGAAGTACTGGGACCCTCCTGCTACTTCCCCTAGGAGTGGTGCCAGGGCTTGGCACCCTGGAGGAATGCCTGGTGATCTCGGCCATGTGGGTACCTGAAAGGGGAGGGGGGAACTCATATTTTTGTAAATAGTTATATATGTATACATATATTTATATATAGTTATCCTTTAATGTGACCTGGGTTTTGTCATCTATTTGAGGTTTACCTGTATCTACTTGTTGTTTTGCCTGAACTTACCTGTTGTTACCTGGTGTATATCTGCCTTTGTTGTACTTGCGTGTTGCCGACAGCTGCTTACCTGCATAGGAACCCTTGCCCTTTGAGGTGGGGGACCCTGGGGCCTTTGATTGTAGAGCATAACGGTATTTAGTGATCTAAATTTTGTATATATTTACCCTTTTTCTCTCATGAGTTTGTAAATATTGTTACCTTTATATTACTAAACATGTATATAGGTAAGCAGTGGGGTCCTGGCCTGACTATAGGGAACTGAGGGGAAACTGTGTGGTTGACAGTTCCCTCCCACAGCACCTCTGCTTGCTGACAACCCCCTTCAATTCATAGAAGCAGAGGGGAGTGCATACCCTGTGTACACCCAGGCTACGTGTAACCCAAGGCCGTCTGGTTCCATAGGAACTCCTGTTCGCCCTGAAACTGAGGGAGTTTGCATGGAGGGGATACTCTGGTGCTTCCATTCCTGGAAGCCAGAGCTCCTCAGCAGCCTATCATGTTTGCTGGTAGGAAGCCAGGCAGGTTTCCCGTATTAGTTTGTCAGAACTGTTTTGTTAGAAAATTCTTTACAGGCTCTGGTAAAGAGTGAAACTTGACCTTACAAGAGCTTCTATCATCTCTCTGTTTTTCTTAATTCTCTTGAATGGATGGGTATAAATAGACCATCCAAAGAGATGTCAAGGGACATTGCTATACATGTTTAAATAATTTAGTTCTTGAATAAGAAAGATGGCGCATTTGGTAGATTCAGAGGACCTTAGGATCCTCAGGCTTCTTCTACCATTGTTAAAGGACTATAGCAAAGATGTGAGCACTAGTAAGACTCACTGGCCGTTTTTATTAGGTTTAAAACAAATGCGAGAGGTAGTGGGGCTGCACAACATCCAGTCAATATGCACATGAAATTTTAGAGCCTGTTGCCATCTAGTGGTTTTCATGTGTAACAAAGGCACTCCAATTAGAGTGAAGTCAGGATTTCATATTTACCATCCTCTTTTTCATAGATTCTTAAATTGTAAGGGGCTGGAAGGGACCCCGCAAGATCATTGGATGTTACACTCATGGTTTGGCCTCAAGGCGAGATTAGGTGAAAATGAGATTTAAAAAATATAAGCCTCTGTCAAAGCAGTTTCTTTTAAACAAGCAGTTTTAACAACCCCAGCTTTACAGCCTCTTGGGCCCAAAAGTGCAACTAATTATAAAACCAAGGATGGAAAGGATTTTCACTGTTTGTGGTGAGAAACTCATGAAAAAAGCAGACTCATAATTGGTGACAAGCAAGATGGATCTTTGAAACTCTTTCATTGTTAAATTGGTAACAATGAAAGTGAATTCACTTCACACCTGTATTTTTAATCTCTTGTCCTTTTCACCCTGTGACAGAAGTGATCTGCTATGTGCCCTAGAAAAAATATTTCTAAGGAAGCCAAACAAATATGATTCCTGAACTTTCTCTCCTTCTGCATCCTGCTACTGGCAATTTCTGTGTCTCTTCTGCATCAAAATAAAGTTTCTCCTCATATTAAAAGCCTCATGCAACTCCTTTCTCTCTTCCTTTCATCCTACTTCCCTCTTGCACTTTACATATAGCCTAAACATATTCTTTTTTAATAGCTCTTTTTATACCTTGCATCTATTTTCTTTTTCATGGCTCAAAAAGTTGCCCTCTCTTTCTTAAATCTCCATTCCAAATGTACTTATTTACATATAGATACCTTTAAAAAACCTCATGCATGGTTCTTACACAGCTCCCAACTCCTTCCAGCATGCCTGTTGTAAAATCCTGGCTTCATTTAAAGTAACGGCAAATCTCCTATTTATTTCACTTCACTTCACTTTAGCTGTACTTTATTTCACCCATGTATTCATTTTTTATTATTATTAACTAAATTGTGAGCTCCTGAAGGAAAAACAACATAGAAAAATCCTTGCTTTTCTAGCAAATTAATGGGTTTTTGGTATTGTTCTCCTCTAGATTACATATACAGTTCTCCTTGTGTCCCTTATGTGTCTTTGTCTATAGAGCTTAACATGCTAGTTTTAACAGTAATTGCAGTATGTAAATGATCAATGCCTTATTTCTGGATCATATCCTTTGCCTCACACAGACATTTGGGTTGTGCCTTTATTCTTGAAAATACCATAGGGATCCCAGACTTGGCCTTGAGATTCCAGGACTTGGGTATACCTTTTCTGTCTATACTTGTGATGACTGCTTCCAGATCCATGTTGGAACCCAAAATTCCAATTAGAGAGCTAAACATAAGCTTCTTACCAATAACACTTTATTTAGCCCTATTAACTATGTAAATGCAGTCTGACACAGCAGACATGGAACTAGGGTAGGGTATAAAGGTCAATTAATTGACCAGTGAAATATCAGTCATAAATTGTAAAAAACTGCCAATAGGTCCAAATAATACATAGAAAAAGCATAAATTTTCCATTAAGGGATGTGTCAAAAACAGTAAACAGGCTTAGTTTGGATGGGATAGACTGACAGAGAAGTTAGTCCCTGAATTGAAGTTGCCAGGTAATAAAATTCACCATTCTAAGTCAGTCTTTTCCTAAATCCAACTCACCTAGTATTTAAGTAGTGGTAAGGAGAGGTTAAGTGAAGGAACAAGATTTCTTCCTGCCCTGAAAGTTAGTTTATTTAGGGGCCACTGTGTGCAAAGTCAGTGGCCTTTTCTATGCAGCATTCCACACACAGTATGGCCCAACTAGCACTTCTAGGACTCAGCAATCTGCAGTTTGGGTAAGCTTTGGTTATACAGAATTTTGATATACCAGCTGTGCATAAATTTAAAATTTCAAGATCCAGGCATGTAAGATTAAGGGATGATTTTACCCTAAGCTGTTCAGTTCTATTAAGATAAATCTTGGCAGCTCATTTTTCTTACATCCTACATGTGCCAAGAAGAATGATCTTCTGCAGTTTGTAAGAGGAAGGATTTACATTTGCAATGAATCATTCTAGGGTATGAAGAATACCCATCATCGTGGACTATACAGTGAGTCTCATGTCTTCTAAGAGAAGACTTTTGTTGACATGGTCACAGACAGGAGGCATGCTTTATGAAGGGAAATACAAGGAGTAAGATGCTCGCCTCTAGCATAGGCTGCTTATAAGCTATTGTAAGAAAGAGGGAAAATCAATTACAATAATATCTTAAGGGATCAGAGAGAGTACTCTTAGCTCTGATGTTATGGTAACTGTTCATTTGTAGGTGGGATCTTTAATTTTTAAATGACTTCTAAAAGTACAGTCCAAACATCCGTCACTAATCCTGATCATGATGCAGATATGTATTATTTGCTTTCTGAACCTTTGATTTGTGGTTCTTTTTTTGTTGTTGCTTTAGTAGCCTGTTCTATATAAATAAAGTGTGCAAAATCACAGAGTTTCAAAATTGCCTTTCATGTATAGATCCATTGTTCCTTTGCTTTAAAGCATTTGTTTTCTAATTTTAGGGTAAGTGATGAAAAAGATGCCAGAGGGTATCTCCAAGCTTTAGCATCCAAAATGACAGAAGAATTAGAGGCCTTGAAGAACTCGAGCTTGGGTGCAAGAGCAACAGTAAGGATCAAAATAACAGTATTGATAGTATTTTGTTAAAAAATGAGGTGGGGGGATTGATTAAATAATATTTTTTCTGTAGAAATATCTCATGAGAATCTTGCAAAAAGTTTATGGACATCCCTAGCGAAGGAACGCCCAGATTTATGGTTTGTCAATTAGTTAAGTGGCATCCCTTTTAAAATGTGATTTTTTTAGGTGGCTGGCCCCATGAAGTCTTGGGTTAATTTGCTGAATGGATGTTTGTGTAAAAGTGCAGATGTGAAGAAATTCTGCACTGTTACACCCTGGAAAGTTTTGGCTTTGAAGGAGCATTCCCTTGTGTGTGAGTCTTAGCATAGTTGTCATTGAAATCTAGGCACATAAAGACTAGGGAATCTTAAAGTCACTTTACTTATGAGACTGAAAACATGAGAGTCATTTTCTTCTTTTATTGCTTGGGTTTTAAAAAAAGAGATAATGTACTTGGAAACTCCCCAAAGTCCTTTTGGGATTAATGAACCCTCATGTCAAGAACATAATAGTCTGTGGAACAAAAAAGCGTTGAAATTAATTGCATTCTCTTTCTCCCCCTCCTCTTCCCCTTCTTTTAATAGGACATGCCCTGGAAGATGCGCCGCTTCGCAAAACTAGATATGTCAGCAAGGTTGGAACTGCAGTCAGCTCTTGATGCAGAAATCCGAGCCAAACAGGCCATTCAAGAAGAGTTGAATAAAGTTAAAGCTTCCAGTATTTCTACAGAATGGTAAGATGGAATAGTTCAAGTGGAAATTCACTATAGTGGTTTAATGGAGGCCTTATGGGGAGAGACCATCTAGTTATAAGTGTTGAACATTTGTCAGCATCTGCTGATGAATGGTGTGCAGTACCTAAAACCAGACCATACCCTTTTGAATTTTGTAAAAAGAGTTATTGTGAAAATCTGGAGTTCTTTAGAGATTTTCTCTCTCCAGGAGGGGCGCTTCTTATAAATCAATCTCTCCCACAAATGTTTTACAATGTTAGCTCGAAACAAACAACAGTTTAGTTGCACTGTTTTGAGATATATATTCCCATCCTGTCCCTGACAGCTTTATTGAATTGGAAAAGAAAACCAATTATCGCATGTTGATTTGTACAGGAGCAAAACCTGCCTGTTGAGTTCAAGATTCCTTTCTTGATTTCTCCTTTATTTTGATTATGCAGTTCATTTGGTTAGGTTGAGTGGCTGAAACAGGGACTTAATAATGGGATATAAAACATTTGAGTTCTGGGTCACCAACTCCAAACCACCCCAGGTCAGAAGAGACCAAAAGCTGGAACTAAAAAAATCTTGTTGGTGGCTTGGAAAAATTAAATTTGGTGACATTAAACTCAGTACAAAAGAGCCCACATCACAACATCAACCACTGAAACTGGCATTGACAGTGTCCCTTGTGGTAATCTGAGCAGAGAAGCTAATGACAGAACAAACATAAGGACTAAGCAGCTTTTGTCATGCCTAGAAGTGATCCTTCCAAATCAGGATTAAGGGATGTCATAAGCAAAGCATGTACTGCTGCTTCCTAAGGATGCACCTTTTCCACTGGAAAACAGAAGGCTGCCAGTATACTGGGCTATCATTTTGGTACCTTTTACATTCTCTAACCTCACTTTATTTAAAAAAAATAGGCATCTTGATTCCTTAAAATATAGAGAATATGGCTCTTTAATGTGTATGTCTTAAAGTATAGGTCAGTCACATGGCACCTATGAGTATTTTTAGAATTTGTATTAAAAACATGTAACAGGGTGGCCACCTCATCAGGTTTTCACTGGCCGTGTTGCTCCTGGGGCAACTACCCACTTCTCTCGCCTGCCACACCTTGATGGAAAAATATGAGACTTGTTACTAAGGCGGGAGGCTACCCATTACTTGCCCTGCTGACAAGGGCCTTAATACCTGCTCCAACCTCCCCTCCATGGGTCCCATGCCTCGCAGATGTTACTCTGGTGTTACTTCTCCAGCCTATGGCTGGAGCAGACTGGGCGCATAGCTGTAGTGCTTCTCTGTAGCCCTGGAGGGCCACTCTCATGCTACCCCTCTCTCATCGGGGTCCTACTTACTCCGCTTACTCACCCAGCCTTTCATACTGCCCTCTTTCAGGGGCCACACTCATCCCTCCTGGCATCACCCAGCTTTAGGCTTAGCATCCTCTCCTCGGTCAGCCCCAGCACAGTCTGTTGGATGTCTCCCTCTACCCTCACCCAAGTGTTGACTGAGCGACTCTACAACTATAGGCCTATTTCACTCCTGGCCCCTCTCCGGGCCACTATACCTCCACTGGGCCTCCTCACTTGCCCACATTTACAGGGCCGCTCTAATCATTGCCCCTCTCACCAGGTCTCATTACTCGTCGCCCCTCTCTCTCCCAGGATCTCACTCGCGCCCCTAGGCTTTATCCCGCCACCTGGGCGCAGCCCCAGGTCCCTCCTCTGGCCTGAGCTCTGCCTTAGGGCTCCATAACGAGCCTTGGACTTCCCCTGCTTGCTAGAACACCACTAGGGATGTGGGGCTGGGATTATAAGGCGCCCCGACCCACCTTTCACTGGGGAGGTAACAGGCCTGGCATTTCCTGGGGGTTCCCACCCCACTACGAGCCCCACCAGGCCACCCTTCCCCGGCAGGGTGCAGTTTTCTGTCTTACCCAGAACAAGGGATCACCTCCTCCCCATAGCCCCTGCCCTTACCTCATGACTCTGGCCAGAACCGCCTCTCAGCCTAATGTTAGTTCCTTCCTTCCTGCAGCAACCTGCAGCCCAGTTTATATCCCTGGGGCAAAATGGCTGCCCTCATCAGGCACCTGGCTGCCACCTATTTTCTGCCCTTGAAGTGGTGGGCACCAAAGGTGCCCTGCCACAAAACATATATACAGTACAAAATTGATCACATGCTGTACTCTGGTAATAATAGTTTTAAAAAAAGATTTACCCAGTGTTTGTGCTACCCCTAGGCAAGGTACTGTAGTTTAAGATAACCTTTGAATTCTCTCTTTCTGAACAAAGAGATTAGACTAGTTTACAAACCTATCTGCTGATGCCTCTTTAAAATTCCTTAATGCTATAATGTGCCTTTCTGAGCACTTAGATGGAATGCCAGTGGTAGAAAAAGGGAAGGAATTGATTCATAAATCCCAAATGTGAAAGAAAAGGAAGAATTTCTGTCTTAGCTGGATTTGTAAGAAAAATGGAGATGAGAAGTCAACCATACCAGGGCAAATTTAATTTTTAGGGGTACAGAGATTTTCAGTTCACTGTATCAGGTTTTTCCTCACACAGCTTCCATTGTGGCTGATGAGATATGGAATAAACAACTTGTATATAAAACAACTCAGTCTGTGCATGGAAAATGTTCATGCTATTATAATAGCCAGCGTTAGAGAATCAAGGATTTTGAGTTCTGTCCTTGGTTCATTGAGTTCATGTTGTCTAATCAGTTAATTTCTCTGAGTCTTGGCCTAACCATTTGTAAAATGGAAATGTTAATATCTAGCCAGCCTGCCTGGGTGTTGTGTGCACTATTCAGATACTGTGCCAATGGAGAGCAATATAAAACCCCTAAGATAAGAGGGATCAATGACTAGTATTCAAAAAGTTATTTGAGATCTTTTTTGATAAGTGTTATAAAAATGAATGTTAGTAGTAGTAATATGAGTGTGAATCAGAGAGCTCTGATATAGCCAATTGTAGTCAGGACATTTATAGTATCGACATGTTTTTATGGATTCGCTCATGAAAAATTCAACAGAAAAAGTTCAGCTTACAGTCTATTAGCAGCACAAACACAGTGAACTACCAAATTAAATAATATTTGTTAAGTTTAAAAAAAAACTTGATCTTTTCTTCTCATTCTAAGGGCATGGGTTCACACAGTTGCTCATAAATAGAGGCATGACAACCTAAAGGGTAAAGAAAGGCAATTATTCACTCCCTTTTTAAGGTCCCATACTAAACAAGTCCTAACAGAATTCTGAACTCAGTCTTTCATTTGATGACCTCATGCTTTTTTTGACCATGCAACTTGGCTGGCATTGATTTTAACCAAACAGTAGCCCAAATAACATGCTAAGAGGGTCGAGAAAGGGAGACTCTGTACCAGTGGCTCTTAGTAATTATGTCTGTTTGTTTTTTAAAGCAAACTGCAAGAATCAGAGAAGAAGAACTTGGAGCTACTAGGAGAAATTGAAAAACTGAAAAAGGAAACGGAAGACCTTAGATCAGAAAAGGGTATGGCAAGTGGTGTCCGGATACATGAGAATGTGCTGCACAGTGGTGGGTACATCTTATCATCTTAGCATGTCATCTTCCAGCATAAGTGTGAGAGCCATGATGCTGAAAGAGTCTGGTATCTAAAGCATGAGCACAGCTGTTTCATGGTAAGATGTACCCACAGCAGCTCTGTTATGTAATATTTTTTAATTTTATTTTTGCACTTGAACCAATAAGAGTAATTTTGGTTTGAACTGTTATTTTCCCTTGCATTTGCATTCCATAAGTAACCTCTATATAAACTTTGGAAGCAAAGAATAATCCCACAGAAAAGATGTCTATAAAATATAGTAGTAATATCAATAGTAGTCAGTCAGTACTCTGCACTTCTGGATGTTCTGGATAGATCTCCCTTAAGAAAGGAAAATTGCCAAGACATTGATAATATTTAATGGCTCGCACTCTTGCAGCAGTTTTTTGTGTATGCACAGGAGTACATTCATGAACAGAATCAATGTAACTGGCTTTTTTTTGGTACCAGTGCATTCTGAGATTTCTAAAGTACCTATCCCATTGCTCCTGCCACCATTGCTGCAAAATAGTAATTTTCAAACAGAAAGTAAGTGCACTAAGTGATAAGTTGATAGAATCAGCCAAACTGATGTAGCTGTAATGTTTGTGTCTTATGGTCCACACAGGAAAAAGTCTTGGTATCCTGCATTGTTTGAAGCAGACCTGAAATACCTAATGTCTTCTGCCAGGGACAGTAACAAGTTAGAATCTAAAACCAGGAACATTCCCAGTCTAACTGTGATGTGTATGCAAGGCATTGTACAGGCTTTGCAACCTCTAGGCATTCCAAACTGTAGCCTGTGGCAGCTCATTTTCACCTACCGCCAGATATGCCTGTGAGTGCAGCATGACAATCATGACAACAAAGTGGTATACAGAATGTGCATATATATGTAACTGGTGCTGATAACCTGATAAATAGGAAATGATTTAGTGTACTGATATTTGCTCATCTTGATGTTGGACATTGATATTCAGAATATGCATAATATGCATAATAGTTTCAGTATAGGAATTTTGGGACTGCCAGTTGCCTTAAGAAGTTTTTCTGGACAATGGTACTTTTTCATATGTTTATCCTTCCATTTATAGCTCCATAAACAGCCTATTAAATATTCTGCAAATGGCTATGCTTCTGAAAAACTGGCTAATTGTCAGGTTACTAAACAAGTCTGCCATGTAGCATTGATAGTCATAAACAAGAATTGGTAATAAATATTTTACCATGTATGGTGTTTCTTCAGTGTTAGAACTTTAGCTTTTTTGTACAAAGGTGTTTAATTCTATTTCTGAAAAGAATATAAAACTTTAAAAAATTAATGGATTTTAAATATGGCAGAAGCAATTACTATACTTTTGCCAGAAGCAAATGCTCAGAAGTGGGTGATTTAATATTTTATTATCAAGAAACACACTTTAATTCAGATTCTTTCTTATATTTGAATTTGACTGCCTCTTATAAATAGAAAGATGTTGATTGCTAAAAGACAAACAATGTAAAGAATTCAAAGGCATGTATCCTCTTCAGTACTGGCAGATTAACTCACCATGCATGGAAATTGTTTTCCAAGAAAAGGCCATTTAGATTAGCAGACGCATCCTGTATATTTGATAAGAGTATTCCAGAAACCTAGGAGGGGGAGAAAATAACACAGGAGAAACCTGATTCTATAGACTAATGCCTACATTGAGAATCACATCCAAGCTCCCAATAAGAGCTCTAGAACAGTGCTGCTCCAACTTTCAACTCCACAGGCCAGATGAGGGGTGCAGGGTTGGTCTGCAAGCCAGACGGGGCTCCCCATGCCAGAATCGGGCCCTGTAAGGTTTGACTGGCCCCCATATGCAGGGATCAGGCCCCAAGCCCGCATGCTGCCCCTGCCCAGCCCCATACACCAGGATCAGGTCCTGTGCCGCCATTAGCACCCAGCCTAGCACATGAGGCTATGCTATCTGTATCTGTGGGCCAGGGACTGAACACCCCTACTCTAGAATGTTAATGGAGATGTAACACATTCTTTATGTTTTAGAAGGAGTAGGTTTCCTTTGAACCTACTCCCTTTGAGTTTTTCAAAAAAGGGTATATATGTACCAGGCAGGCTGACATTTCCCATGATAGAAGGAATGTGAAAGGTAACTCTGAGTTATGCACATGTATACGCATGTGCATGTATGCACCTCCATGCACCACCTAATATTTTTAAGAAGATTAAATGATTAAATCTCTTTGAAAGCAGTGATTCATGAAGACTCAGTGGTCATAATTTCTGGGTGTTATTAATCAGTTTGAATTCATTGTATATTTGTGATTCAATATCTACTTATAAGGTCTTGAATAACATCGAGACGAGATGTTTGACAAACCGGGCTACATTAACACCCAGGTTATGCCGCTAATGACATACACAAAATGCAAAGTTTGACACGCTTCCCACCTCATTCCCTTATCCCCAATGAAAAGCCCAGCTGGAATGTAATACAGAACTGTAGGGTACCTGCAGCACCTTCACCTGGACTTCTACTATCTTTGGATGCTCTGAAGTGGGTAGCAGTGGATGGCAGCACATTCCCCAGGCAGAATTTCTAAAAAAATGGCAGCAGCCTGCTACTTGTTTTCTTCCACCACAGGGGTGAATGTGCTGGGTTACAGAGGCCATACCAGAGTATGAAATGAGCCATGTCTGTAAGTGCACAGATACATGATTAAATATCTGTGCATTGTATATGGATACATGCACATTCAATATCAGTGCATTATATATCCCATACATATATCTGTCATCACTTTGACATTATATACATCCTGGGAAGAGAAGAATTAGCCATAGGTTGCATACCTCGTGGGTCTGCAAAAATGTTACCTTCCTTTATGCTGATTAGCACATTAGATATAACTTGTAATCAATTTTAGATGATTCAGGTAAACACTAAACACCTATAATCATGTTCAGCAAGACAAAGGTCCTCCATGAAAAGGTCATTTTTCTGTAGCTTAAAAAAATTGCTGCTGTTTTCTAGGTGTAAAGCACCAAGACTCACAGAATTCTTTCTTGGCATTTTTGAATGCGCCTACCTCTGCTCTGGATCAATTTGAAGTAAGTGTGCAGCCATTTGAATATCTTTCGCAGTACTGGAAAGAGCATATTTTTGATGACGTGGATTGTTTGCATACTTGTTTACAGGTTACTGCTGTGTTTAATCTCTTTTTCCATTTACATTTTGTGCATAATTTTAATGACAGTTAATGGTAATGGTTTATTATTGTCTATGTCATTTTTCTTCTCTTGAAAAAATGGTAAGTACAGTCAGTTCTTTTAAAAATTCCAGTATGTTGAAATGTTCCCAATTTCTTAGTGTATAAAAGCAGGTATTAAGATGGCCTTCCATCATTTAAATAATAGCTAATACAAATTATATTTTTTCACACTCATTATTAGATCAAACACTTGGTAGATTGAAAAATGAGAGAAAACGCATAAATGGAAACACATAGTTTGCACTTTCTCTTACCAAAAGCAATGTAAAATTTCTAGGAGTGAGATCTTGGCTCTGTTTAACTCAGTAACAAAACTCCCATTGACTTAAAGGGAAACCAAATTGTTCTCCTTACTGTTCTATCATAGCCTAGAATTTGCTGTGGGCCTCCCATTGATGTCAGTGGAAAACACTCAAAGCCATCTGTAATACAGCAGAATTTGAGCCCTAAAATTTAAGGGGAAAAAATCTTGTCCCTTTTTTCTAATTAATATTTACAGTGGTTGAACGCCAAAGAATTCTATACTTACGTTGTACACATTTATTTTGTTTTGTATTGATCTATCATGCTATTCTTAATACAGAATCCTGTCAGAGAACAGAAATGTTATATTGAGTGAAGGGTTGAAAAAGCATTAATCTGCTTTTATATGGGTGGATTATAAATTAATTGTCTAAGAAACAAAAGGCAATTAACAAAATTTTTTGCTGCTTTCATGGATATAATTGTTTTCTAGCATGAGTCATTTACAATTTTACTTTAATCATTTTTGCAATGCTGTGGCATTATTATTTGTTTTTGCTTAATAGTTCTCTTCATCCATCTCTTTCTGTTTCTTTACTGCTGTATTCGTTAAAATAGGATTCCTTTTCTTCTTCTTCTTCTTCATCCTCATTGATTGATTTTATGGATGACGTAAGTCTTTGATCTCCAAACAAGTAAATCCCCCCCCAATAAAAAGAGATTAGTTGGTTGTTCTGTTAAATTCAACCAGTAATACAGTCAACTTTTTTAATGGTATGATTTCAAATGCATTCTAAGAGCAGAGTACTATTTCTAATATATCTGTGGCCATAAATGTAGATATATATACAGTTTAACTGTGTCCCTTTCCCTCTTTAATGGATGGGATTGAAATTTCTCATTGAAAAATGCTTTTGCATTGTGGAGCAATGCTGTGATTTGTCCATTTTAAGGGTTTATCCACTAAGAAGCCTCCTATTTTATCTTCAGTCCTGAAATCTTTAATGATGATGTTTAATTAATTTCAGTTGGTTGTTGCATATTATATTCACTCTCACTGATGTTTTTCTAGCAGTTTTCTGGTCACTTTAACCACTGTATTTTTTCTGCATACTGATTATTTTTAGAATGGGGGTTCCCTAAAATAATAAATAGATTTTGACTTTTAAAAATATGATCTTATTGCTAGTATTAATTATGCAGTGAGTTTGTTACATTTTACTGTATCCAGATTGGCCATAGCAATTTATTTGTGTTTCATTGTGGAATTTATGTTCATGATGTAGGAAAAATATTGAAAATAGTTATGCTTGTTGGTTACTTACTTAGTTACTGAATCATTTTAAAAGCTGTAAATTGACTGCATTATCTATTTTCTAGATCCAAGTGGTAGACTAATAGATGTAAATATTTAGAAGTCTTCTCTCAAAATATATACCATTCTCACTCTTTATAAAGCTCTCTATTATAATACTGTTTGGTAAACAGAACTTGTGTTCCCAATTTCATTAGAATGCATTATGATTAACTGTGTTGTAAAAAATCCATTATAAAATTGAAATGGGCATTTTATAAGAATAAATAAAGAGGGTGTAGTGTCTAATCCCACCCTGATAAATATATCTTCTGTTCACAACCAAAAGCTATGAAAAATAACGTTTTTCATGTAATTTTTACTTGTGTATTGTTTTTCTCTGTGGTCTCAGGCCATGACTGTGGACAGGGTGTGAGTGTATATTTGTGGTACTATGTTAAAAGAATTAGCTCATAACTTGTATTACACTGAGAAAAGCCAGAAAGGCCAAGTCCAGACATGCAGGGGCATGTGTTTGCAGTGGCACAAATAGTACATGCATAAATTTGTGCCACTACTTTGTGCCTCATTGCATGCCCCTACATATGCACTTTGTTGCATATTGTCCTGCTTTAGGCAAACTGCCCTTGCCCAGCTACTCCTGACTCCTGGCATGGTAAGGCAGCCAGGGCACAAGTGGAGCAGTAGAGACACTCTGACTGGCACTGGAGGACCAAGCCTCTGTTTGTTCCAGCATGCACTATTTTCCCGTACTCTGTGCCACTTTTTTTTGCTACTGGGAAATCCTGGTAGCAAATTTTGACCCCCTGCTGGAAATTTGCAACACGGGGCACATTTTAATGTTCCACACGTGCAGTTTGTGGTGCCACAAACCACACATAGCTGCATGTCTGGACGCAGCCAAAGAGTTGCCTTTCTGACACCATTGAAATATTCTTATGCCCAAAGATACTAATATGCAATTTACCCTCTTGTTAACATTATAATACATCTTGAACATTATATTGCTCTATTTGGGTTGAAAAGGAGCGGTCTGCGTGGTGGGAAAACATTAAGCAAAGGTCAACCAGTGCATCTTTCCCTTTAATAAACCATGAAAAACACATATTACACCCTTCTCAAAATATTTTAGATGAGTAATGAAGTACATGTTAGGGAGTATAGTTAATACTTTTATTTTTGTTTAGAGGGAACTAATGGTAATTATCATTACCTTGTTAGTCTTCCAGTATTTTTATTCTCAGGCTTGTAAACTTACTTATAAGAGACATGAGTAAATATGAAATCGCACGCGCATACATGCACACACACACACACACACACACACACACAGAGTTTTGAAGCAAAGGCCTTTATAAGGGACTAAAGAATGACATCAGAAGAGTGCACAGGGTGGGGGGACTAACAAGAGTATACTCCTACATGAAATATTTGCTTTTTTCTTAATGCTCTTTTTTCTGCAGACCTGAATATGACATTTTCATTTATTTGATTGTGATTGAATTTATCCAGTAAGACAATAAATACCTCTTCTGAGTTGGCAAAATCAAACATAAATTGTAATTAAAAATGTAGTTATAAGTAGCCATGTTCTGTGCTGCAGGTCTATTGAACACATTTTAAATTACTATGTTAATCAGAACTTATATAATAAAAATACTATCACTACCTAAGACTTAGACCCTGGCCTCCATGCTCTATACAGTCTCTCTGAGAGTGGTATCTTAGAAGAAGAATGCCTTTTGTGTGGTGTCCTAAAAGGTGTGTCAGATCTAGGGCCAAAATTGCTGCTTAATAAATCTGAGAGTACATGGAAAGACAGGGCAGCTAGAGCTGTTCAAAAAATGGCAGTTCCTCCAACATCACTTGAGGTTTGGGGCAGTCTCTAGTGTTTGGGATCAGATATGAATACATGTTTTAAATTGCTGGTATCCTCTCCTCCTTACACACATAACCTTTGTGCTTCACCCTGAGATACTGCTGACAGCATAACTAGGTATGGACAAGAGGAGCACCAGTTGAGGGGGCACCTGTGGCACTGACCTTGCAGCAGTGACCCATGTTCAGGTTGCTCCTGCTGAGGCAGCAGCAGCCAGCGCTGCTGCAGGTACAGTAGCCCCTATGTAGGGAGGTAAGCACTCAACACACCTAGTGTCTTTTATTTGACACCTACCCTTCTCACCTCCCCCACCCACAGCATCAAAATTCCTAGTTACACCTCTGTTGATAGCTGAAGAGCTCTAGATAGTGAGCCAGCTGAGCCCTTATTTTACACATTTTGCAAGTCTGCTGGAGTCTCTGTAATCACGTGGGGGTAAATCAGCATAGAATTTGGCCAACTAATATATATATGCACTCTGGCTTGTATCTCTGACATACAAATAACTTGGATGTTTGCAGCCAGTAATAAATTTGTTTAGCTTGTTTTAATTTGTTTTAGCCAAAAAGACTATAATTTCCCTATTTCTTCTGGAGAAAACTAAAAATATAAGTCTGTGCTCCAGCTGCTGCTGACTGGAGTTTACAGATGCCTAAGAAGGAAGAATGATATTTTGCTGTGCTGACAATTCACTTTTACTTTTGGTTCAAAATAGTCCTCCATGTATCAACAGAGGGAAATATTTGGTTGGAGCAGCAGGTAATCTGAAGACTTTTGTGCTTCTTTGTCTCAGTTGAAAGCCTTCTCAAGCCTTGTAGGAGTTGTATCTCTTACATGTCCTCATCCACAGGGCTAAACTATAGAGGTCTCATTTTCACCAAGAAACACCTTATATTAGCAGTGCTATGCCTTTTGCAAGGCTCAGACTTACGCATCTCACCATCCCCTGAGTGATTAAATCTGATAACATTATTCATGTATTATCCTATGATCAGTTCTCATTCAAAATTCCCATTGGCCTTAGTAGGAGTAGCACACATGAAGCACTGACTGAATCTCGCCCTCCTACACTGTCTCTGAAACACATGCTTACAACTTTGAAATGTTCAATGGTGGTTCACAACCTTTTATAGTAAAAGCCCTGGCTGTGCCTATGCATCGATAATTCCTGACATTTGGAAGAATTACTGTGCGTGATGGTATATTAAATTAAACATACTGGGCCTCCAAGAGAAGAAACTATCCATCTCTTGGAGGTGCTAAAAATATGAATTGTGTGGGTCATACACCGGTGGTCTTATGGAGTCTGCATTGTACGGCTTTATTGTCCAGTGTAAAATTGAAGGCTGTGAAATAACTTTCCTTCCTGTGTTCTTTTGTCTTGGTGTTCCTTCTTATGAAAGACGGTCCCAAAGTAGAGAGAACATTGTCTTTCAATTACTTGTAACATTGTATATAATTGTGTGTGTATACACGTTGTCTATAAATACAGTGATGGATATTCTGAGCTGATAGGTGTGCTGTTGTGTTAAGCTTTGTAACATGTTCTCCTCCTCTCTTTGTTAAAGCGCTCTCCTTCCTGTATTCCAGCTAACAAAGGCAGACGTGTAAGAGGCTGTCTTACTCTGTGTGGCCCTTTATTTTTGCCTGTGGCGTACATGACTGTTGAATGTGTAGACTGTTCTATGTTGACTATTTATGGCTTGTATTTTACTTCACTGCATGTCTTGTGCTGCTGCTGCTGCTGTGCCTTTTCATTGTTTTAAGGCTGTGAGTTAAAAGCTTTAGGAATACTCTATTTGGGAAAACTCTGTGCCCATAATGCCACAGTAACTAAAGATGCTGGGTTATTTCTTCTGGATTTGAAAGGGAAATGTTGCAAAAGCTCATTATAAGAATGGATCAGATAGAAGCACATCAGGGAAAGATGAGCAGAGTAGGGGCCTCTTTGCTTTCACTGCATTAGCAAAGCTCCCTGGGAGAGATTTGGAGGAATTTCTTATAGATAGTAGACATTTGGCAACCAGGAGACGTGTTCAGGAAATATTATGGTCTGGATATGCTTTCTTTAAAAAATATGTATGTAATGGAAAACAGGTAATTAAAGTAAACTGTAGTACCCAAAAGGTCCGGAACATTTGTTGGAGAAGCACAAATTAAGGTGTATTCTATTAAAAATCTTAAAGCACTGAGGTATTTTTAAATTTGTAATGGATATATACATATGATTATATGGTATTGAGCATTAAATGGAATACAGATAGATCCACATATGCACATTCAAATATCTAGATAAATATAACAAAATACAATTGGAAATAGCAGTGATATTAATATTCCATAATAAGACTGATAATCTTTAATCTCTCTAATCATAACATTAATGGTACAGTTAAAACCATAGATTATTATATTTTCTCAACCCAGTTTACAGTGCACAGTGTTTCCTACTATTTAAGCAGTATGGCTCTGATTCAGAAGGCCTGTTCAGCATACACTTAAATGCTTTGATCAACAAGAATCAACTTAAGTACTCACTTAAATGTTTTACTAAACTGCAGCCTGTAGGCTAAATCTTATAGCCTTTAAGGGATGCAGTCTTGTGGAAGTCACCAAAAATATTTTCATGAAAAATGGCTGGAGGAGTGGTTCACACAATATGCACTTTTAAGAATCCCTTAGGCATATAGTGGTTTAAGAACAACTTAAAGATATTAATATGGTCAACACAGGCCTTAAATACTGTTGCAGCCAGCTTGCTTTTGTGCTAATTAACTTTAATGGGTGCTTGTACACATGATGGAATTGTCCTTTTTAGTGGTTTAATTGCCTTTTTAGCGGTTTAATCGCATCACACTTTACATATGCAACGGTATATTGTGCTTAATTTCTTCACACCGTACATGTAGCATGGCATATTGTGAATTAAATGACTTTGTTATGTACCAAACTAAAACACATCCCAATGTATATTAGTTTGCTATGTAACAAATTGCAGCAAGACATCCATCCCCAGGGCCCCCTGCAGCTCAGGGGCCACTTGGCCTGCCGGCAGCTTGCTCCCCAGCCGCAGGCATGCTCTGCGGGGGGGGAAAAAATGTGGTGAGAGGCTTGGTGGGCTTCAAGCGCCCCATGGACTGACCCCTGCAGCTTTCCCACTACCTGGGACTGCCCAGGAACAGGCTGGCTTCTCCCTGGGACACTGCCAGAAGGTGACAGGCAGGAAACTGGGTGAACTGGAAGCACAATGCATGGGGTGCTGGAAGCCTGGGTGTGTTCAGGGAAGCTCAGGCTCAGTGGGCTTCTAGCACCCCATGCACCATCCCTGCCACCTCCAGCCATCAGCCTGGAGGTGGCACCCTCATGCCACCTTCCAGCCACCCTCATGCCACCTTCCTGCACTGCCCCAGGGCGTTCCTGGTTGGTCCCAGGTGACGGGAAGGTGGCAGGGATAGTGCATGGGGCACTGGAAGCTTGCCAAGACTCTCACCGCTTTTTTTTCCCCCACGGAGCCTGCCTGCAGCCGGGGAGCAAGCTGCTGGCTGGCTGAGCAGCCCCTGAGCTGTGGAGGGCCCCGGTCCCTCTTTCTATGGGGGCAGCACCCCCGGGGCCACCTGGGTGGGCTGCTAGCAGCAAGGTGCTGCCGCAGCTTGGAGGCAGCACCCAGCCCAATCCAACTCTTCCCTGAGCCCGAGTTGGAGCAGCACCTGGCTCATTAGCAGCCCACCCAGATGGCCCTAGGGGGGCACTGCCGTCACAGAAGAAAGAACCAGGGTCCCCCACAGCTCAGGAGCCACTGGAAGTTCACACCCTGGCCACGGGCAGGCTTTGCCAGAAAAAAAATAGAAAAAGGATCAGGAGCCTCACTGTAGCAGTGACGGAGGCCCCTAAATTGAAACGGTGGGTTTTAAATTGTCACAATTAAAAACCCACCATTTCAATTTAGGGGAACTGAACTCCTGTCAGGTGTACAAGCAGCCAGCAGTAGGAACTAAACTGTGGAACTACCACGCTATCTAGTCAGCTAAGGCCCTGCTCTTGATACAGTATCTTTTGAATGGCAAAGCTGTCTTTGCTTTCAGTAGTGCTGGGTCAGGTGCTAAGTTAATTTTTAATTTTCATAACTGCAGTTGCTACTAGTACAGTAGATACCTGCTAAAAACAAAAAGTTTTATAGATCTCTCCAGGAAGATTTCATAGTTTCTACTACACTTGCGATACCTCTTTCAAGGGACTCAGCTTTGGTATGCAAGCATTAGGTTGAAGGGGAAGTTTATCAGTCCAGAAGATTCCATTCTTTTGTATTATATTGATTCGACTGAAATATGTCGCTCCAGATCAGATCTCCAAATTTAACTTCAAGAGTACATCTCTTCCCTGCTATAACAAAAATCACTTGCAATTTAATTGTTAGGGTGTTTTAAATATTGGTGCCGGGAAAAAGCTCTTACTTCTGGTTATAGAGGTTTTGAGTAGGTGCCAAGCAGTGCCATATTTGGATTTTTAAATACCTGAAGGGACATTTTCACATAGCCTAAAATGTGATTACTCAAAGGCATCAGCAGTTTTTGGTGTTACTGTGGGTTTGGAGTTACAATTTGCACCTGAGCACAAAAAATGTTTGCTTATTGCTAATAATTGCCTAAATGCTTGAAACACATGATCTACACGTAGCAAACAGGTGTATTGGTAAGTAGGACTTTTTACCTTTCAATATGAAAAGGGAGTGCATGGACCAGAGCAACTTACTGTCATCTTACTCTGTCTTGGGTTTCTTAAGTTGAAGAGCATTCTCCACCAACCACACTAAAACAGTTCAAAGCATTTGTAAAAATTAGAAATTAGAATACTTCCTCATAGTTTCTAAAAATCTACAGTTACACCTGTTCACTACTATGAATATAGTTTTAAAAACTGCACATGCATGTTCCAGGCTGGTGGCTTGGGAATGGAACACTTCTTGAAGGGTAATCCAATTTGTGGAGCCTTTTGGTGCTTCAGGAAAGCCATTCCAAGGTGCAATAGCAGCTTCAAAAAGGTTGATATATTATTTCTGTGCAGTTCTTTCTTGTATTACCAAGGTAGCTGATCACAGGTGACCTAACAAAAAAGTTCAGTGAAATAGAAAGGAAAGATTGGAAAACTGAGACATCTTGTAATACATCTGTAGAATACGCAGACAAGCAATCTAGCCCCACTATTCAGGGTAGTTTGGTTGTTAATAGAGAGAGAGTCATCTAGTTATCCTGCTTTTTAAAAAAAAGAGAGAGAGAGAGAGAGAGAGATAGGAAAGTTCACCGGAGATGGAGATGCATTGTTTTAATTTTTTCCAAGATTTTCAGCTCTATTGACTACAGTCCAGTGCAACACAACAAGATATAATCCTGCTGTCATACTCTATTATTTATCTCAGTAGCTCAGTTAAGATTAATCATCATTGTACATCATATAAAATCAAGGATCAAGGGGAAAAAAAACACTCTCTACTAGTTGCATCCATGCTATGGATGCCTTTACTTTCTTGCAATTCAAATATAGATAGAAACATCTCCCATAAAACACCCCTTTCTGTAGAAAAAAAGTGGTATTCCTAACAGAGGAAGTATGGCATTTCTGAGGTTTTTTTCTTATTATTATTGCTAATGTTTAGCGATTTCATAATAATTTAGTAATCAATAACTGAAAAAGAAATGCAAAGGTGAGCATTTTTCATTACTTGGAGGGGATTTGAAAAGGAGATGAGGTTGCCATCTGGAATAGTATGAACGATCTAGTATGAATGATCCAGTCCTTAACAATTATCAAAGGGGGAAATATTCAAGAATTGTATTTTAACTATTGTCTTACAATTTTTTCATTAATTTTTGTCCAAACTGCATTGCCTTAGGAAAAGAGAATTTTCCAATTTAAAATATTTGCGTCTTTCCAGTTGAAGCCCAAGTCTTCACTGGCATCCATTGTACTAGTTCCCAGTCTCATTGAACTCATTCTGCTTTCATGTGGGCTGTGTAGGGACTGACTCTGGGAAATCTTACTGCAGTGTCTGCATCAAAGAGAATAGAATTTGAAAATACAGCCTAATTCAACCTTTGAAAATGGTGTGTAATCAGCCTCTGCAAGAGCTTAAAGCTCAGAGCTTGCAAACACTTGCACGTATGCTTAACTTTGGGCATGTAAATAGTCCCATTGAAATCTTAGATTACTCATTTTTTGGAAATTCAGTTTTTGAAGCCCTTTACATTCCTTACAAAAATGGTTAAAATCATAATTATATGATTGTTCTCTCTCCCAAACTCTACTGCTCCATCTCTTCCTTGAGAAAAGTAGTGTGTTAGTAAAAGTGATGTCTTGATTTCTTTTTGTTTGTTTTTCTTCTGACTTGTTTCCCTAGATTGATTCAGTTGAGAACTTCACGTTATCTAACACGCCTTCACGGGATGAAGATATCAAGTCTCACCTCCATTCGAGATCTAGGTCTCCTTCCACAGCTAGTGACATTGAACCAATTGAGGTACTCGGTGCTGATGCTTTGATCTTTCACTCCTAAACTAAGTGCTTATTTCATGCAAAAATGACTACTGCAAATAGTGTTTATTCTCTTTGAGTTTAGGGTGACATTCACTCTAGTGGAGAGGCTCTTTGCAAGTATTATGGGCTATTCATGGACTTAAACATGGGCCTTCCTCACTGTGATGAATTCTACCTGATTTGAGTTGGTCTAATAAAAGATATCAGATTTACCCAAAGAACCTTGTCTACCTGGATCATATTAAATTTCAAGAAAGATTGGGGCTGAGGAATGTACATGGAATGAATTGATAGGAACAATATGTCCTCAGTCCTGGTATATATATTTATATATTTAAGAAGTCTGTACTAAAAGTTAACACTATAGTTTTGTTTTATGACTCATTCTGAATCATAGTTCAAAACCATAGCAAGGCAAACTATAAATAAGTCTCAGTGCCTATAATAGGGTGCCTCCTGTATCACTTTGTTGAAATAATTTAAATCTTGACTGGATAAATATATTTTAAAGCAGAAAATTAGGAGAGATTCAGTAAAGGTGAAATAAGTTTAATCAGTATTAAATGAATATGTTTTCTCTAGACTATTTCTTGACACATGTAAGAGAGAAATCATACATTTAAGTTATTATCCTGAGACCTACAAATTCATTTTATGTTACTGAGTTTTTCCTTTATGTTAATCAGCATGTCCATTGTAGTTGCTTTGTAATTGGTTTTTGTAGCCTTTTGGTTTTAGTCAGGAAGCTTTTGATAATATATGCCACTGATGTCTTACTTCTTTTTGTGGGGGTTGCGTTTAGGTCACAGATCATCCTCCACGTTCAGTTCACACGTCAACCATGAGGACAGCGTATATTGGTTCAGGACTCTCAGCACCAAAGGTAGTCAGTCAAACCGTCTAAAATCCTGTAATGAAGGAGGACAGATTTCACTCCAGGACAGCAGATTAGGAAAATTGTTAGAAATTCTAGAAATGCTGGTGTGGGAGGAAGAATTATATTCAATAGTAGCTGATTTCAAATGAAAAGACGACATGGAGATTATTATGGGTACTTGGCCACAGGAAAAGTATCAACTTGGACCATTAGAGAGAATTTACAGAACTAGGAAGTAAAGGAAGAAAACAATATAGAGAAAGATAATGAGACGGTTTTCATCTGCTTTATTCATCTGTCTAAATGAGAAGCTTTCTTCTAAATGAAGAAATTCAGGCTTAGTCATGAAATTCACTGTTTATAAGAAAGAATAACCCAAAAAGCTCCATGCTACTTTAATCATATACATAGACTGTGCTGGGTGTGGCTGGAAGCACCAATGCCTGGGTGCTTACATATATCCCTTGCATGCTCCAGAACTGATCCTTTTGCTAGCCAGACATTGTGGGGCCTGCCTGGGAGGGCATTTTTAGGGCAGGTGCAAGTGAGCTAGTGAAGGAGCTATGAATTAGTGTCTACTCTAATCTACCCAGGACCCTCCCAACAGCTTTTGTAACCAGGGGGGCAGAGGGAGGGGGGTAGCAGTCCACATTACAACTCTGGGTGGGGAAAATGTATTTTTGCTCTTCAGCCTTCCTGCACTCCAGTTGCATGAAGACCATGTACTTGGATGTAATATCAGTCAGAGGAATTAATTTCATCCTTGGTTGACGAGTTCCATTAACTCCATGTACCCAAACAAGTGGGAAACTATGCATAGGTTTTAAAGGAAGAGTTTACTGCGTAACATTTTCAGAAGTGCCTGAGTGACTTAGGAGCTGAAGTCCCTTCTGAAAATGTTAGCTTCTTCCAGTTAACTGTATTTCTGAAATGACTCTTGGGAACTCTTCTGTATAGACATACTATCAGTACAAAAGGCATGTATGCTGCAGCTGGTGGCTGTCAGCATCTTATACCCATAATGGAAAACCACAAAATAGCAACAAAGTCTACTTAAGCAATAGAATGGACCTGCCTGCAGACCAATACATCATTCCAATGCCATGTTTGAAACTCAGAACAAAAATGTTTTGAAGTTTTGAAACCTTAAGAGAAAATGACCCTCAGTCTCAGTCTGGTTTTGGGAGTGCACCACCATAATGCTAAATAATAATTGAATTGTCTAAATGGTCATCCTATATTAAGCTTTCAAAAACTTTGTAATGTGAAGCTTTGTTTCTCTTGAGTTTCAAAAATAGATATCAACCTGTAGTCAGACAGCCCTCTGGACAAGAATTGAAGAGGCAGTCATAAGAATTCCCTGTTTACTCAAACCCAGGATGAAGGGTTTTTTCCAAAAAAAACCCATGGGTTAATAAAAGTCTCATCTTAGATTTGAATACCAGCCTGGAGCAGGCAGTGGCTCAGCTCTCAATTCAGCCTGAAGCTCAAAGTCAAAGCCAGATCTGAACCACCTTCTGCCCTTGGCCAGGGTGGCTTGTGGGGCAGGGGAGGGGGCATGCAGCCAGGGGAGCATGGGGAGTCAACATGGTAGGGGGAATGCACAGGGGAGACCTACTTGTGCAGCTTGGAGGAGTATGAGGGAGACCATGCAGCCTGTCCCCCATGTCTCCAGTCTGCTTCCCCTTCCACTGGTTACCTTCTGCTGCAGCTCCAGCCCCAGCTTGTCCAGACCCAGAGCTGCCACTGCATGGAAATGTATAATTTTCCATGTGTAGAATCTAATTCTTAGGAGGTCTGGGGGGGGGGGCATCTTAAATTCAAAGTCATCTGGGCCTCGGGTAAATATGGTAAATTGATAAATGTCTTATAAAGTCAGATTCAGGGAAATTATATTCCAAGCCGTCAAAAAAATCTGAGTAAAGTCGCCCTGTCTCAAGTCATACACAGTATTCATATAGCTGGATGCTCTTTTGCACTCACAAAACGTTCAGGAGGAAAGTATTTTCTTTCTCACACGTCTAGAGGCTCTGTACTTCCTAGGCAGACCTGGAAAGAATCCGTCTACAGGAAATACATGCAGAGCCATGCAGACATCATGTAGACTCTTTGGCAAATCGTTACATATTCTTTAGGACTGTGCGAAGTTTCAGTTGCTGATTTGATTCGGAGGAGATTTGGCCTGATTCAGTGGCCAAATCTCCAAATCCAAATTCAATCAGGAGACCCATTAATCTCTCCAAATCAAATCGGAAACCTCCGATTCGATTCAGAGAGATATGAAGAGATTTGATGATTTGGCCATAGACACAGCTTTATATGTTTTTTCTACACACCTCTGTCTCGGACGGCCAGGGCCGACTCGAGTTACGCTTGTACGTCAGGGCGGGCTGGTGAATGGAGAGGCAGACACAACTTATTGGTTGCAAAAAACTTTACTCACGCCGCTTGCAATCACGACGCAGGTGGTCCGGTCGTAGGAACAACCACACAAGTTGTTCCAGCTGGCGGGGCCCGCACGGAATTTTAAACGGCCAGCAAGCCAATTACTAGCCGCCACGTGTGAATAATTTAGCACTGGCCAATAGCGGGGCACAAATTTACATCCGAATAGTGGGAACTCTTTGCACCGTGCATTTCTGTGCTGCAAAGAAGAAATGCATCCTGCAAAGGAAACTGTAAATTGGCGGGAACTCTCCTGCACGCAGGCTCTTAATTGCAGCAGAAC